ACAGATAGATTTCGATTTTTTTTAAGCTATGCATTACAAAAAGTATTGGTATGTGATTTATGTCAGAATTATGTCAATTCAAATAAAACATCCAAAAAATTTTTTTGATCAAAGTACACCACAGAAAATTAATTTTCAATTTTAGACTAGGGGCGACCCTAGTTTCTTTGAGGGTTTATCCAAATGGATTGAAACTTTGCATAAATATTCTAGTGCTTAAAACAAATACAAATAAAACATCTTAAAATTTTTTTGAGCAAAGAACCAAGTAGGAAATACATTTTCAATTTTGGACTAGGGGCGATCCTAGTCAAAATCAATTTTGTCACTTTTTTCTTCGAGGGTTTATCCAAATGGATTGAAACTTTGCATAAATATTCTAGTGCTTAAAACAAATACAAATAAAACATCCTAAATTTTTTTGAGCAAAGAACCAAGTAGGAAATACATTTTCAATTTTGGACTAGGGGCGACCCTAGTCAAAATCAATTTTGTCACTTTTTTCTTCGAGGGTTTATCCAAATGGATTGAAACTTTGCATAAATATTCTAGTGCTTAAAACAAATACAAATAAAACATTTTAAAATTTCTTTGAGCAAAGAACCAAGTAGGAAATACATTTTCAATTTTGGACTAGAGGCGATCCTAGTCAAAATCAATTTTTTCACTTTTTTCTTCGAGGGTTTAACCAAATGGATTGAAATTTTGCAAAAATATTTTATTGCTTAAAACAAATACAAATAAAACATCCTAAATTTTTTTGAGCAAAGAACCAAGTTGGAAATACATTTTCAATTTTGGACTAGGGGCGATCCTAGTCAAAATCAATTTTTTCACCTTTTTCTTCGAGGGTTTAACCAAATGGATTGAAATTTTGCAAAAATATTTAAGTGCTTAAAACAAATACAAATAAAACATCTTAAAATTTTTTTGAGCAAAGAACCAAGTAGGAAATACATTTTCAATTTTGGACTAGGGGCGACCCTAGTCAAAATCAATTTTGTCACTTTTTTCTTCGAGGGTTTATACAAATGGATTGAAACTTGCTTGAAACTTGATTGAGTGCTTAAAACAAATACAAATAAAACATCCTAAAATTTTTTTGAGCAAAGAACCAAGGAGGTCAAGCACTAAAATATTTATGCAAAGTTTCGATCCATTTGTATAAACCCTCGAAGAATATGTATCTCATTGAGCATGTTCCGGATTTGTTTCTCTTTTCTTTATGCCCCAAATCATGCGAATCACTCATGCATGATTACCATTTATCCATTATTTAACAGATGGTAATGAAATCATATATAATGAGTTAACAAATTGAACGCTTATCATCATCAAATTGAATGGATATAGATCATTCATCAGGTGCTTTACGGAAGTTATTTCATGATTTGAAGATATGGAGATGAATGATAGTTTTTATTGAATAGTAAGTGTGTAGTTTAATGCAGTTTAATGGGGTTCGTGAAATTGTTTCTTTTAAATGTATCGGCTGGTATTCTTGACTAAGGCACATGTTTCCATTTTCTTGTGTAGGGTTTGTCTGAAACAGACTCGACTCGAATGATCCCATCTGTAAAATCGTCAAAAACACACATTTTTTCGAGCTCAAAAGTCATAAAAATTTACCTCTGAATTTCGCTTCAACATTCAGCACCACTTAAAAGTCACCAAAAGCAATAAAACTCACATTAAATTTACTCAGTGAAAAGCTGTCATCATATAATCAAATGTGAAGTACTTCACACCTATTTAACAGCATTAAAAAAGTTTTTTTAAACCATTTTATGAAAAATTCAATTTGAATTATAACGAATTATAATTTGATATTCAAGTGTCTTCATAATTGAATTGCTTGAGAACCTTATTTCAATTTTTATTAAGGTACATTTTTCCCGGAAAATAAAATAATAAACAAATGAAACGAAATGATATTTGATCATAAATGACAAAGAATGTAATATAATTTTCATAAGTTTAATGGCGTTATAAAGTATGTGCAATTCTCATTTTCTGCTCTTTGGATAAGATGAGCTGTTTTCTCTTGAAAAACTTGTCACACTCAATGAAACTATACGAGTGGCATTACGGTAATAAAAAGTACAAACAAAAAGAAAGGCAGCATCTTGCAACAGGATCGAGATATGTAGACGAGAGTCTGGAAAGTTAACTAGTTCACAAAATGCCGACATGATGAGAGTTTTATAAAAATTAAAAATATTTTTCTTTCATTTTCTATTGACATAGTTTCCTCAATAATTTTCAATACTCTGACTCAGTCGTGGCTCTTCCATTTGCTGCCATTCCATATGCGGTCAATGTTATATGAAATGGAAATCGGGATGAAAGAGAGAAGAAATGAAAAGTTTTTTTTCTTAATTATCATAAGATCATGCTATGGCTTCCTGCCAAGATAAATCTTTTCTCTTCTCGTGCATACTTTTTGCAGTTTTAATGCATAAATTCTTGAAATACTAGTCTCGAAAGATGGTCATATTGGCCGACAAACGACAAAAAAAATAATAAAGGGCTTTAGGTTTGTTTTTAATATTGTCTGTGCTTACATCCAAAAATTATAAACATCTTCCTAGCCCCTTCCTAGAAAATTCAAAAGATACAGTTTTCGCCAACCTTGATTCTACAGAAAAATATATTATTGTATTTAATTCCAATTTCATTACGGATGCTACTCTAGAAGCAAAATAAATGCTTTATAGCTTTCATGAATCTATCCAACCATATGTGATCCCTTTCTCTGCTTTTAAAATTAAATAGAACAGCTTCAATTTCTTCAATATGGTTAACAAGAATAACATCGACGATGAAAATCCCATATTTACAGAATTAAAAAAAAAATTACAGAAGTCCTCGTGTTATTGATCGAGGGACTTAAGCGCATTTTTGTGTTAGCGATCAGTATTTGATTATGTAATTATTTTGCGTTCATTTACAGATCATGAGAAGATTAGAAGATCATTAATTTTAGTGTAATTAACAAAAAGTTACAATGAATGCTTATATAGAAAGGATTATTATTTAACGGTCAATAAATAATTTGAAATTTTGCCGTTAAAAGTTGCACTACGAAAAAATTAATTATAGTATAATTAAATAATTTGTTGCAATGAATTTCCATACAGAAAGGATTTATCATTTAACGGTTTTTTTTAATTCAAATTTTCTAACGGTCAGTAAATAATTTGAAATTTTCCCGCTATAAGTTGCACTACGAAAAAATTAATTATAGTATAATTAAATAATTTGTTGCAATGAATTTCCATACCGAAAGGATTTATCATTTAACGATTTTTTGTAATTCAAATTTTCTAACGGTCAGTAAATAATTTGAAATTTTGCCGTTAAAAGTTGCACTACGAAAAAATTAATTATAGTATAATTAAACAATTTGTTGCAATGAATTTCCATACAGAAAGGGTTTATCATTTAACGGTTTTTTGTAATTCAAATTTTCTAACGGTCATTAAATAATTTGAAATTTTCCCGCTATAAGTTGCACTACGAAAAAATTAATTATAGTATAATTAAATAATTTGTTGCAATGAATTTCCATACAGAAAGGATTTATCATTTAACGATTTTTTGTAATTCAAATTTTCTAACGGTCAGTAAATAATTTGAAATTTTGCCGTTAAAAGTTGCACTACGAAAAAATTAATTATAGTATAATTAAACAATTTGTTGCAATGAATTTCCATACAGAAAGAGTTTATCATTTAACGGTTTCTTGTAATTCAAATTTTCTAACGGTCAATATAATAATAATTTGAAATTTTCCCGCTATAAGTTGCACTACGAAAAAATTAATTATAGTATAATTAAATAATTTGTTGCAATGAATTTTCATACAGAAAGGGTTTATCATTTAACATTTTTTTGTAATTCAAATTTTCTAACGGTCAATAAATAGTTTGAAATTTTCCCGCTATAAGTTGCACTACGAAAAAATTAATTATAGTATAATTAAATAATTTGTTCCAATGAATTTCCATACAAAAAAAGTTTATCATTTAACGGTTTTTTGAAATTCAAATTTTACAACGGCTAGAAATTTTTTGAAATTATAGAGGTAATATTGAAATTATAGAGGTAAAATAAAATTTGAGCAGGTTACACTGAAAACAAAACAAAAATTCATTAATTATAGCATAAATACACTGTTTTAAGATTTTTAAATGTCCGGCGGGCCAATAACTCGATATAACGGAACTAATGCAAAAAACTAGAACTCTCTACGATGTCTAGATTAAAAGTTTTTCTTAGCGGCCGACCAGCCGACCAGCCGACCAGCCGACCAGCCGACCAGCCGACCAGCCGACCAGCCGACCAAAGTGCGTTATTAAGCTACCTTTTTGAAACAAGTTTCAAAAATGCGCTAAAAAGTTCAATCTCATGCCAAATTTCCTGAATCATGCTTAAACAGTTTCTATATGATAAACTCACTGTGTAATGTTATTCTATCTGATGCTCCATTCATTTTTCAGGATATTTTTATGAGAGCTTTACGTGACTCTCTTAACGGAATCATTTTTTATAGCACAAGCTAAATGCAAGCAAAGCGATGAGGGTACAAAAAAGATTTTAAATTAAAGGAGAATTAAATTTCTATAAGGAAACAAAAACGACAGATTAAAGTGTACAATCGATTTCTGACGAAATATTAATATTAATATCAAATAAGAACTCCTAGAAAATAAGCAATATTAAGTTATCCTTTTTCACTATACCCCACCCTAGACTTGTCTATAATGATTAAAATTTAATTTTGATTTCAATGTCAAATTATCCCTTTTGAAATATGTCAGAATTTATTTTTTGATATATGAGATTAAATTTTTGTCCCGTTCCCGATAATTTGGCGGGACCGGGAAAACAAAAAAGGAAAGTTCTATTAAAGAGATCTTATCAAAACAAAAAATTTTGATTACAGTGATATAAAGATCTATGTAATGTAGTAAAAACAATTGATATCTGTGTCTAAAATGCTAAAACCCAGCAGAACATGGCCAACAATTCTTCAAAAGACCATGGCTGTTGTACAATTGAGATTTGATGGTAAATACGCATATAGTACGATAGCGAACATTAATCAATCACAGAAATCGCAAATAATTGAAAATCAACTATCAATAACGAGTGAACGGCAAATAGATTTTGATGATAATAAGCAGGATATAACGGAATGTATGTGTGAGCATTCAAAAGATTCCGACGAGAAATGTAGGTCATTTGCTCTTAATGGATGTTCGACCACATCAACATCAGCGTCATCAATAACTTGTAATGGTCGAGCTTATAATGGTCACCTTTGTCATTCTCATATGAATGGACATTCATTAAATTCTGCAATATCATCTCCCACAATCAAAGTTTGTCTCTGCAACTATCATAACAATAATAATAGTATCAATAATAATCTAACATATAATAATAACCGGCAGCGATCTGAATCCATTAAGGTGGAAAATTGGGATTATATATATCGTGAGCGACCGTATTTGGATGTTCCACATTCATCAGATCGGAGTGCTGTTCCTAAGTAAGTACTCGTTTATATTTATGTTGTTGATAGGAGTTCAATGAATCGTCGCTTAGCATATGTATGAAAGTTTGAAACTTGAAAGACAGACCTTCGTTTCTACAAAGGTTTCTTTTTATACAACGTTGAATTTTATAAAAATGTAAAAAAACTAGACGTCCCTACATGTTTCATTATTGAGATTTCTTCATTATTAACTTACTTATTTGCTTGTTTGCTAACACGTCAATATGGTGTCAATATAACCAAAAATATGCAAGATGCGTTATGATTATGCTAAGGCACATCGCAGAGTACGAGGAAGCTGTAAAAAATGAGTTTATAATGCTAACAAAATTAAAATATGTTGAAGTAAAAGAGGAAGAGAATAATGCCATAAAATAAACTCGTCAATTTTGTCATGTTTATGCACGTATTAATTCAATTAAGTTTTATATTCAGAACAAATTGTCAGAATCTGAACATAGTAATACAATAAAGGGGTCGTTCATATATAAAATATAGTCTGTAAATCAATGGCATTTAATTAGAAATTTTGACAGAATTAACTTTATTGTCAATTATTACTAGCAAAATAAAGAAATTTCTGTTTAAGTTGGTGGATTTATCTCCCAAATCCCCCCCCCCCTCCCCCACTTAAATTTTTAACAGAAGGTTCAATAGACTAGATTGCTTACAGAAATTCTATCCATATTAAATAAACATATCTACAACATTTTAATTGCTCTACCTTACAATTTAGGTCACCTCAGAATGGATTTAGCTGTGATCATGGATATTTGTCGGGACGAGGTGCACAGAAGCTCGATACAATTTTCCGCCACTATTATCCCGAGTCTGGTTACGGATGGATTATTTTAATTGTGGCTGTTATCGTAGCCATAATTACACAGGGATTTCAGTTGTCTGCAGTTCTTTTTTTACTCCCTGCCGTTGGACGATTTAATGCTGACAACATCGAATGCCTTGGTGAGTACAAGAAAAAGATTTAATTTATTTGTTTTTATGATTAAAACATCTGCTGACACTGGCAAGTCTTACTTATGTACAAACATATACTCGTGCACTGAAAAAATAAACCAAACCTTAATCTCTTTTTTATGCTGGCAAAATCATAAAAACATAATTTTTGCAAATTTCTCATGATAAACATTTGCTTTCTTTCTCTAACTTTGTATTCATTCAACGAGAATCATTGTTAAAATGTATAAAATTATCAGTCGAAATGAAAAAAAAAAGGAATTTCATTTTTGAACAAGCTGAATATCATTTACCTTTGACTCACATCCAGAACTCGAAGTCAACTCGAGATTTTCAAAATTTTGAATTATTTTCAAGATTGAAATTTAAAAATTCTTTGAAATTTTAAAAACTACAAAAAAATTTAAAACCAATTTGATTCATAATCCATCACAACCATTTTCACAAAATGCTTCAAAAAAAAGCAAGTTACACAAATAAACTCAGTTGCAGTCAAGTAAAAATTTAGAAATGAAAATTTTACTTCTTTTTCTTGCCTAGATATAGAAATCATTCAGAACTTTACAGCATCATAAATCTTTTTTCATGTTACGAAAGAAAAGAGAGAAAATTTTATTTTTGATTTTTTTTTTGTTACTCCTTCTCTACAATATATGCATGCACGGAATGTAGGGAAATTTATGGTGAAGAAATTTTCTTTTTTTTTTGAATATACACAACACACAGAGATTTTTATTGCAATATTACAAACTTTACTTTATGCTTATTTTAATACATGCAAAAAAATATTTATTCATATATTCTAAGCTTGTAAATATTTGAACTTTAATGCACACCGACGACATCGACGATACATGCATGATTCACTCTAGCTAAGCAACCAAATGAATATTGAATGTGAGTTTTAAGATTAAATTTATGTATTTTTATTTTATTGAATTATTACTGTCTGCTGTTGAGCATTGTATATTATCTGTTGAAGAGACGGAAGAAATAACGGTTATTTAAGGAAATTCGAAGGAAATTTATGATAATTGTGATTTATGTCTTGTCTGTTGACTGGAAAACTGTGATAGAGAAACTGTAAATGCAGAAATGAGTTTTTATTAAATTTTAAACCGTAAGAACTAGATCAATTCTAATCTGCAACACTAATGCCTTGAAAAAGTGACGAACAAGAAGTCACTATAATTTTCTTAATATCCCAAGTAATTCTCCTATCTAGTTTAAGATGAGTTTTCAATTATTTTCATGCTACTTCTGACGTCTTACAAACTCTTTATCTAGAAAATCAATAACAGATGAAAAGTTTCTTCTACTTACTTTAAGTTTCAAACCATATTTGAAAACAGTTCTGATTGGTTTTAAATTTACTCTAAATAAGACGTTGATTGCAGTATTATCGATCTAATCAAGTCAGTGTAATCTGATGCAATTTTCATGTTATTATCGTAATGGACGAGCTTTCAATTTATTTCCTGCTCCAAAAATAGAATCTAGATGAAAAATTTTTTATCCATTATCGATGCACCATTCTTTTTTGATAGATGTTAAGAGATTAGATTTTTTTAAAAGGATTAAAGCTTTAATCCAGTACAGTCTTAAGTTGACAGTTTGATTTTCAACGGGTTTCTAAAATTTGATTGCTGAAATCAAACAGCAACACAAACAGAACCAACAACATCTTCAACTAGCCATAAAGATTGGAAAATTGAATAGAATGAGTTTTATTATAAAAGTCGAAGATTTCTAATCAATTGAAAAACTTAGGTCATTTAAAAGCTATTCAATAAATTATTCATTTTGAATCTTCATTAGATCCGCAAAGTTGTTGATATGATGCTGAACCATGCAACCACATTTCCTCATATTCACATCGATAAATGACTCTACCATTTGATTTCATGAATGTAATCTCAGTGACAACGGATGGAATGACCAAATAATAGCATCGGACCCGACATTCAGCCGTTAATGGGCTATCGATAATGACATCAGAGGTTGATGTTGTGAAACAGCATGGAAGCAATTTATCATGAAAATTCAAATAAATCTCTGTCTCATTCCCAATGTCCGATGGAAAGCTGCTTGACGTGATAACAATTGTTCCATTCTTGAGCGTCTTCAATGATGGAACTCCTGGTCGTGAAGGTTTCAAATTTATCAATAATTTATACTTAATTTCATGATCAACCATTGAGAATGGCACTTTTGGAAGTTGCAAATCATCGTCATCCTCGGCTGTCAGCTTGCTCAAATTGTCATAAAAATTAACAGTGTGATAATGTTCAGAAAGTCCAGGATGTGGTTCAGAATAATACAACCACGCCGGAACAGATAACAAGCTCCTATCAACGCAAACATTCCGATCCGAATCTTCTTGAATTTGTGATAAAGTCGGTTCACGTATGCCATCAATCAACATCATTTTCATCGCCATTTCATTTCCAATCTTCTCGTAATCCCACATGATAGATATTATAAAATTTCTTGATGAGTTTAATTAAAACTTGTATTTTTGTGAAGTAAAACTTTTGTGATATTAAAGTGTCAATGATTGCTCATATTAATTACAATATTATTGTGAAAATGAAGATTTTTGAAATTTGAATTATTGTTGATGCACAACTTTAAAATGTTTTACTTAATTTAGGAATATATCTGAAGAAATTCATGCCAGAAAGTTCATTAAAATTGTCAAAAAATGAGACCTTTTAAAATCCAGAAAATTCATATTTAAAATCAAACTAGCTTAAAAGTTCATCAGATCACTGAAAAATTATGCCAAAGTTGTAAATTCACATTTAATGCGCGTATAAATTCTTTTATTACTATTCCTCATCAAAAAACGATTTATTACAGTTTACATTGTAAGTTTAATGCTTGTAGACAGAGTCTATTACATACTTACAAGAATTGTAATGGAAATGCAATTTGAACGACTCTCAGTTGAACTTTTTATTTATATTGTGATTCCTTGAAATTTCATTCGAATGACTATGAAGACTCGCCCAAAAGAGACATTGCTTCTGATGTACAAGTGTTGAATATACTTAATTAGCTTATCTTTTCAATTATGACTAAATTTCTATCTTCTATCTGACGACATTTTTTGTGCTTTTAATTTGACTTTATTTAAGGTCCAGTGCTGTGAATAATCGAAAAAAAACTTTCTAGTTGTTATCATTACATTTTATTTTGTAAATTGAGATGCATTTAAACAGTTGAGCTACTAAAATGTAGGAGCTTCATATATGTGTAGAATGTAATCGACGAGTGATTATGTAGTAAAATTAATTTCAAAAAGCCAATTCATTTAATGTAATTAGAGCAATTTTATGTGATTGAATGAAAACTTTTTCTTGGCTTCATAAAATAATTAATGGATTATGAAAAGTTCCTCAGAATAATGTGTGAGTTTGAATTACTGCTTGAGGGATTAAGCTTGGTATTAATTATGAAGTTCCAGAAATTGTAAAAGCAATATGAGTTAGATTGTCTGTGATTATTTCTGTTTTAACTATAGAAATTGGCATTGAAAGCTTTATAATTGTGAATTCAACAACTTTACAACAGAGTTGTATTTAGAGGTTAATTCCTCCATCCTTTGTTTAAAAAAATTAATTCAACGTTGTAAAAACCAAAAAATATTCAAAAAAACCATTAAAGTCTACAAAATATCCCTCAAACACGTGTTAGCACCCCTGCATCCAATTCCATCTCAATTTTCTAAATCAACAACTGCAAAAAAAATGAATTTTTAAGCACACACAACCTAGAGCAATTTCATTCATGAAAATCACAAGAAAAAAAAATTCTGAATTATTTATCATCGTCTGTGTATTTGAACTTCGTTTGGAATTAAATCCTTCCATTCACCAAATACAACTTGTACTCACAACCCCAAAAGCTATTTAAAGTATCAAACTTTTCAATTATTTTGTAATAATATGAAAGAAACCTTTAGGGTTCATTTATAAATGACGTCAATCGCCAATTTTTTGACAGATCCAAACCTAAGCTCTTCATCAAATACCTTCAAACAGAATATTACACAGGTGAGCAGTAAACAAACTTATATGACCCAAGTAGAGGATCTTAAACTATGGCAGATTGGAAATATATATATATATATTTATATTGTAGTTGACCAGTTTTAAAGCTTCTATCATTTTTAAAATATCTCTACTGAAAAACATGAAATTCACTCAAAAAATATAAAATTCTTTCGGTCATCAACACACTCACTAATCGTACACCTTTTTTGCCCATTAAATCTTTCCATAGCATACAGATATAAAGGTCAGAAAAGGTTTACAAATAAATATCGAAATAAATTTTAGAGGAGATGAGAAAAAAAAAACTTTTTTGCTTTCATGGAGTAATGTATGTTGTGCCATATATCGATGATTGATGTTTTAGAGAAGAAAAAGGTACCTGTATGAAATAGAAGAGTTCGCTATGGTTGGTTTGATAAACAAGCTTGTTAGAGAAATTTTTTGTGTTTGAATGATTTGAGCGATTCTCATTTTTGGAATGATATCTCAATTGGATGTTGATTGATGGAATGAATGGCATTTTAAGATATTTTCAAAGTATTCCTTAAAATCCAGTTTCTGAATACCTTTAGTGCATGAATTGCACAAGCTTCTTCTTAGTCAACAAATATTGCAGCAAACCACAGTTTCAGAATCTTTCTCATCCAGTCTGGAAAACCCAGACAAACACAGAAATGAAACCACAAAACAATTGATATCCATCTTCAGTGCTTACTTGATTCTATTCAAAGGAAACTTTTTAAGAAGAAACACATGCCTTTCTTCCCTTAAAAAGCTTTAACCAATTTTTTTTTAAAGACATATACAAAAAATTCAGAACTTTTAAAACTTTTTATTTAATGATTTTTTTTTTCAAATTTAAGCATTTTCTGGGGACCACGTTAACCTTTTTTCTCACAGTCATTAGGTCTGAATAGTTGACTATTCAGTTTGTATGTCTTACGTTTTAAAATTTCTTTTGATCCTCAACAATGAATTCACAACCGTTTCATTTCGTCTTGGAAAAAAGCGCCTTGGCTCCAAGTTAGCACTACAATTCCTGATGAATACATTTCTTTTGATACTTAAATAATTGAGATACTCTTGCTTTAACTTTGAATGAGGATGAGACGACGTGGAAAAGAAGAAAATTCACAAAAATATCCTTCTTTTTCATCACGTAAGTAGAAGTAAAGATAGAGCAAAAGCACGAACGGCTGGATGTGAAAAACTTTAAGAAAAAGGCGAATAAATGCTTTTGTTTATTTGTGCCTTAGTTAAAGAATAAAGAAAGTGGGGAAAGAAAACAGAGACACAAAGGATAAGGCAAATATAAAATGTACAAGAAATATAGAACAGCAATAAAGTATGGTGTTGCAACAAAACGGAGAGAACAAGAATCGATTTTTTGTGTACTTCTATTTATCTATATTTCTAAAGCATTATCGAAGCTGCCAAGAGTAAAACAAAAACTTTTTCTTGGGATATTATCAATATTAAAAAGTGACAGAAAGCAAAGCTGATTGGAATTAGAAACAATTAGTTGAAGAAAGAGAAGAATCACAGCTTATTTATTGCTGGTGCTTTCTATTCACAGCTGGACTTTGAAAAGTGATTTTTGATATAAATAAAATAAAAGTTGTGAAGTTCTACTGGATTTGGAAGATTTGTTTTTATTTGAAAGATTTCTATTGTTTGTCTAGAACAATTGATTATAATGAGGTTGTAAGGTAATGCTTTGTTGGATCAATTTCATTACCCCAAAGCACCAAATTGCGAGTTAGCAAAGATAGCTTTACTCCTCTGTTCATCCATATTAACCGCCCAATAAAACTTCATTTTTAAAAATCCATAGAAGCTAAAATAAAACTTACAGACCACAAATTATGAATATGGTAATGCACCCACCCAGTTAAAAGCTCATAAAGCTTGCTATTTATCAAAATGATGCCACATAGTTCCTGAAGTTGTTCTTGAATCTTTTAGAAAATTTATGGCAAAATGCAACGCAAATGAATCATAAATTTGCATAATGTGGTACATTACTGAGAACTTTTTGAATTTCAACCTAACAAGCTGTTTAAGAAAGAAGTTTTTCATAATAAGAATTAAATTAAGTATAAAGCTGTCTTGATTAGATATGCCAAAAATGTTTACATTGCTAGCCATGTAAAACTGCATCTGGTCATCAAAGCATTTTTGGTCATCAAAAGAAATTTCACAAAAAAAAGAATTTTCTTCATTAAATTTGCAAGTAATCCACTCAAAAATTTACCACCTGTCTTATCATAAAAATCGTCGTTAGCAATAAAGGCATTCAGTCGCTTCACTTTAAATTGCGTGACTGAGATGTACGAAGTCTTGGATAGAAAATTATTAAACGATTTAGATCTCAAGAAGGCTCAATTATCAAGTCATTGAACTTGCTCAAAAATTATATAATCAGCAATAAGAATTCAAAAGTTCCTTTAAACTAGTTTATTGTAAGAAAACAAAAAGTTTTTCGTAAAGGATATTTGGATGTTCTTGAAACTTTTCATATTTTGAATAATAAATTATCTTATGGATTTGCTTTTCATTTTTAATCCTGCTGTGCCGCAAGTCAAATGTTATTTCTTCAAGATAGAGTTGAGACTAATAAAATTCCTTAAATTATTTGATTAATTACCTCCAAATGCTAAATAAGCAACCTTCCATTTCAACTTTCCGGATATTCAACCTCAATTCAAATATTTAAACGCCATTTTTGTTTCTATGATTTTGTAAGAATGAGATTGTAAAGCAAATAAGAAGCAATGAAATCAAACACTTCGATAAGACACTCAAAAATTTTAATATCATCGATGTGTCTCCATGACGTAAATTACAATTTCTGTGCCACCCACAGTATTTTTCCTGTCACATTATCAGTAAGAAATTTTATGAAAATGTATATATGTAAATTGCTCCAAAAATAAATTGCCTCGTGTACTTTCACTGTTGTTGAAAATATTTCTGTAAAATTTGTGGTGTGGGTTATGATGTACTAGAAAGTTTGATTTTTAATTGGAATCTGGCACGTGATAAAAAAATTTCGATAAGGCTTGAATGAAAAATGTTTAATTTGGTATTTGCTTAGATTTATTTTTTTAAAACTCATAAAGCTATTGTAAACTGCAGCCTTAAAATATACAAATTAATGATTATCACTATGAAAGTATGGTGTATTGTCAAATAAACAGTTGAATTCATAAAGGAACGACATCTTGAGTTTAATTTTTCATGACGTCTAATTTTGAAAAACGTCCTCAGTGTACCTCACAGCCAAACCTATAATTTAAGCTATAACCTGAAAAGCAAATTAAAAACAAGCACAAATCTTAAATTTTTTAAAAGTTTTTCTTTTTCATATTTTTCTTTTTATTTTCTCAAGTTGTTCTTGTACGTCAATTGATTTTATGTATAATAAAAACTGGCCTATTGCTTAAAAGCGTAATTGAAAGTTTTGAGGAAATCTTTAGTTTCTTTATGGTAAATAAAAGAGCTGAGAGTGTGCTTGCGACAACAATATTATGTCGATTCATATCGCTATTGACTGTTGCTGAATAATTTCTTGTTCTCATTACTTTTATTAATTACAATTGGATATTTTTCCCTTTTTAATTTATGCTTATTTCGTGTTTGTAACGTTGTGTTAATGTGTTTTGTTTTTCGGCATTAATTATAATTTAACGATTAAATAATATTTTTTGTTCATTCTTTGATATTAATTTGCTTGTTGGATAAAGAATTAGCTTCGTGACACTCACACAAAGTGTCAATGGCTTACTGTTTGGGTGAATGGAAATAAAAATGTCCGTAACTGAAGCAACTGATGAATAGAAAACTGTGAAAAAGTTGATTTTCTAATGGACTTGTCTAAAATGTCAAATTATGTTGATTCCAAGGAGAAACGAGTAAAAAAATATCTTTAACAAATTGTTTTCAATTAAACTGCTCATTCATTTATTAAGACTTATACACTCGAATCTCAAACACATTGGAACATTCATAAAATTGACAGTTATTTTAAATTATTTTAAATCAGTATCAATAGATGCTTAGTTCTGATTGTTAGTCTTTAATTTGTAGAAATTTAAGTTTAATTTTATCTAATAAATAAATAAAGTATACAGCCTTAAACTTTATTAGCAAAACAATTTGAATCGAATTAACACAAAACTTATAAGCGCTAAATACGAGCGTCACGGAGCTTATTCTATTTGAATTGGGAACTTGCGTTTGAAGGATGAGGCAGTTATCGATTTTGAGATCTTACTAGATTTTTGGGTACTTTTTGACTCAAAATCAAATTACTAAAATTGATGAATTTAGGTTCACCTCTTAAAATACCAGCAACCTAAACTCTCTTTTAAACCGATTTCCAAGAGCAATTTACTATTTTAAATTACATCTATTAAAAATGTTCTGATTTTCAGTAATTTTAAAGTGCTTATACAAATTTAACTTTTCTTTCATTCTTTCAACATAAATGGAATGTTTTGTAAGATAAAAAAAATCTCAAATTTTCTTCTAAAAGAGAAAATTTTCTCTTCTGTTCCTTTAAAGTCACAATTCACAAAAAAAAAAATATGAATTTATCTACAATCTAATATACTTTTTAATGAAAAAGTCAATTCCAATTATTCAAATGATGAATAAACTTATTCGATTAGAAATCCTGAAGTTTCTTCTATTGCAATCAGAAGTTTCTCATAACATAATTCAGGTGAGTTATAAGGTGGCAAGTCCAATCTAATACATTCAATAAAAAGAATAAGTCGGAAAAATTGGAAATGGATCTTAAAGAAATAAAAAAACATTCTTACCTGTTAAAACACGTATGTGCTCGAGGAAGTGAATTTATCTTGCCCCACTTTTCAATACAGAATCTCCTCGGACCTGTACTTCCGCGTAGATTTGCAAATCCATCAATCGGAATCGATGACGTTCCAGTGACAAATTGCAATAATCTCAGTCGTTGTTCATTTGAAAATCTCTCAATGACATTCCAGAACCAAATAATGACTTGATGCTGATCGTGATATCCACCACGATACTCTGTATTCTGTCTCCAATCGTTAATGTCTATTTCAGCCGTACCAGCAATAACAAGCTCCAATTCGCGTGCATCAAAAACTGAAACTAAACGTGGATCAACAACCTCATAAAATCCACGAACTAATGACTCTGTTTGTTCTTGTACACCGCGCTCCAAACGCCATTTTATTATACGCTCTAAATACTCCTTCTTATTTTTCTCACTTACTGTAATATTTTTCCCACCAGCCTTTAATTCTTTCTCAACGACCCTTCCTAAAAGCTCTTCCGTCACACAAAATGTTAGACCTAGTGAACTCCCAGTTCCTATGTCATTGTCTCGAATCCACTGAAGAGACTGATGGAATTCTATGTCTATTGAGTCAATGATTAATTAAGAAATAGCTTTAATTTTCATCAAAAAGTTCAACAATATTTAAATTTTCTGTTTTAAAACTTAAAGAGTTTCTTAGAAGGATCAGATAAAAGCATGGAAACCGAATTATGGTAGACATTCAACGCAATGTTGGAATAAAAATAAAGAAATTAACATAAATTCAATTTAATTCACATAGCACGAAAAATTTTGCAGCCATAAAAGCTACGATGATAGACTTTAAAACGAAAGCACCAAATGCTGCCTGTGATATTGTATAATTAAGATAAACATACCTAAAGATTCCAAATCGCTCAATGTTAACGGCAGTCGTAGTAAGGCTTTGTAAAAAGGCCTTGTGAAAAAGGCATCCAATAAATATTGGTGTACAAGTGCAAGGCCCAACACTCTGTAGAGGGATGACACAAAAAAACGTGGTAATAAAGAAGATGAAATTAATTAAAAACTCATTAAACCCAAAATATTACCTTCCACAAAATCTAAACCAGTCATGACAATTATCAACAAAAGATGAGAGCGGTGAAATTTGCACAGAATATGAGTTTACCGCACTGTATTCAAATAAAGCGTAGTATGGTGAAAATATTTGACGAGATAAAAGAAAGAAGAACTCTCGAGAAGGACCACCTGTAATGACATCGAAGAAATTACCAATAAGGATCAAAATTACTTACAAAATTTATTTAATTTTCTTACCATAGTCAAGTCCTTCTTCTGTGTCCCAAATTACTGCCAAACGACCTCTTTGTAAGTCTTTTTTGTTTGCTGTCATAATGCGGTTGTAAGCATCTTCTAGTAAATGTGAACGTCGAATGTGTAATCTGTGAAAATTTACGGTACATATTCAGCTTTAAATTCTCCACCACAACTAATTTTTAATTATTTTTTTTATTCGTAAAAAAAATAATTACACTCTCAAGCCTCAACAATTTAACTTTATATCCATAAAAATACTCACTTTAATTTATGAGGTCCCTGTCCATAGCCCTTTGACTCTAACTTGCGATAAAACGTCCTTAACTTTGCCTCAAAATCTCTCTTTATCATCTGAGATGCACGTTGAGATGTTCGTGCGGTACTTAAATTAGGTGATCCCAATGTTGGACTGCTTCGTGCTTCAACCGGAACATAGCTCATAATTTCATTTTCGAAGAGACTGTAAAGAACCAAATAACAAATGATTTAATTTTGATGTTGTTGCTGTTTTATTGTATTTAATTGTACATAATTTAAATGCAAATTCCAACAAAAAATAGAGAGAGAAGAAGAATAAGAAGAAACAACGCGACTTGACAATATAAACACGATAAACAGTAATTAACATGATAATTTAATTTTAAAAACTTATCTATTGTTTGTACTTATTTGATGTTGAAATCATGTCTCAATGAAACAAAACACAAAGTACTTAAAGGAAATAACTTGAAACACGAGGAAATATATCACGGAGATTAAAGAATATTATTGATTTTTATCGATTTAATTTGTTTAAGACAAAAGGTGTCACGACATGTCATTTAATAATTGCTCGTTCAATAGTTTATGATTGGAATACTTGACTGTACTTGATTGTCATGATAGGAAGTGAACAGATTAAAGTCAATAAGGTTCAAATTACATCAACTTAGAATATTGTACTTTATTTAATCTTTTTTTTTGAAATTAGCATTAGTTGACTGATAAAGAAAATAAGGTCATTAGGAGTGATGGGAATGGCAATTGACCTGTGATTATGTGAGTTATTGTTTATATATGTAACCTTAAAATATTGGCTATATTGACTAATAATGAGCTGTTGTAGCTGTCGATCCATCTCAAACAAAGGTTTTATAGTCGATTTTTTAAAGCCCTCAACCAAACCTTTTAGACAAAATTCAAAATTTTTTATGAAGATGAAAAAGTCACCAAAAGTCATATAAAAACTTAATAGCTAATTTATTTATTTACAAGCGAGCGGTATCATCTTTAATTTTTCTTTTCACTGTAAATAGTCTTTCTATCTGTAGATGTGTGCTATTAAAATTTTTTTTAAATTACTTGTTCTTATGATAATAATCTGCAATCATTTTAACGTATTTACACGCAAAATAATTTATTTAATCATATCATGCGACACACAAGCTATTAAAGTTTACAATAATGAGTGAAAATTGAAGTGATATAAATATTTGCGAGTAATAAGCTTTTTAGCGTAGCGAAATACATAAGTTATAGCAATAATGACAATAATTATAAATAAAGTCGTATATGCCTCACTTGATAGTTATTGTGGCAAAATAAAAATATTTTTTTCAGTTAAGACTGTTGATTTTTGATAATGCCAATTTAAACAAAATCATCTAATTTGTGGTTGCACAACTTTAAATTGTTTCCCACGATTTAATGTTTTTTCCCACGAAAAAAGTTTATAAAGAAGCTAAATAATTTTGAGAACAGCATAGAGGTGAGAGAACAAAGGTTTGAGAATCTTTGGATAAAGACTAAGCTTTACGATTATGTGTTTTTATTAACATCAATTCCAAATGAACAAATGATTTCACTTTCAATTTACAATGGATGAGTGCCTTTCAATTTCTCACTTGACGTGTCTGAAGCTAAAGGGGGTTGATGGCAAATTATGTATCACATTAGAATCCTTCTGCTTGCAGCAGCGTATTATAAGAAGAAGTGACGCATATAGTCACACATCTCCACATTGTTCATCATTTATGAACGATTCCTAGACATCATTTATAAATCTTTTTTTAAAAAAAATTCACAGCTTTTCTAAAGATTTCTGAGCTCTTGTCACAAATAATTTATTGCTCAAAATTTTTCTTCATTTTATTTTCTTCTCTCCTTCTAAACGAGCCATAAAAATAAGGATTTTTAGTGCAAAGCACAAAATGTTTGTTTGAAAATTACATTGAAGCAAAATAGAAAGACAGAAAGTAAAATGAAAAATTTAATAATGTTGATGGAGAAAAAATGACTTACGGGGGAAATGGCAGTGAACTCATAAGAACAGTGACTCAGTTTTTATTTCATGTAAAATCATACAAATTCACGAAATAAAAAGCTCTAGTTGCGCGTAGGAAAAATCTCCTTACTGCGTTTTAGAAGAATTCTGTGTAGGATTTGGGTTGCTTCAAATGTTTTCATTCTCCCATGAAAATTAAATCCTCATCATTAAAATTTTAAAGCTAATAAGCAAAGTAGATTTCCTTATTATAAAATCATTCAACATAGAGAATCAATTTTTATTTTCATCCCATAAGCGACATAGTGTTCTATAAATATATGGATTAGATCATTAGCAGTAATTTGAGTTGGATTGTTGCCCAAAATATTGCTCCAGATATTACATTTTACATTTTGATTCATTCGCAAAAATTCATAATCAATGATATAGAACCATATTTTACCATACTAGATATTCTAATGTGTCTAGTTAACATTTCAAAATTCTCAAACTGCATCGGAATATTGCTCTAATAAAAATATCCGAAATCTCTATTAATTAATGATTATGAAGCATGTTCAGTCTAGCATCTACATTTATGTATTGACTATGAACATTTTATTGCATTGAAACATTTTCTCAACTAACGTTCATAATTTTAAAGCTTTATAAATTTTATATCAAATTATTGATCAAGTTCTTGATCATTGAGCAATTAGTCTACCACTGCGTTTAATTCCTACTTCATTTTTATTTCTTAAAAACTATATATTTTTTTTCTTATTTAAGGGCAAATCCCTAATTTGTTTACAAAATTTAACTTTAAATTTGATTCTTGCAACAATAGGGCTTTAATTAATAATTGTCACATTAAGTTTAGTCATACAATCTTCTAAAGAATATTTGAAGAAAATAATCGATTTCAAAAACTTCCAGTACCTATTATTTGTGGATTTTCCATTAGAAAGAAATTGAGTAAATGCTCAGTTGAATGAAAGGGAAAGTACCGAGATAAAGAATGAAATACAAAAGAAGTTTTGAGTAAGTTATGCAAATATATATAAAAATCTTTTTCACAGTTCATTTGCTACATATCATTTTTTAAAGCAATAAATTGTAGTAAACTTCCATTATACAGAAAGAGCTCATGCTTTAATATCTGAAAAATGAATTTTACATTGAGAAAGGTCAAGAAACTTTTTTTTCTTTCATTGATTTTTTTCTATTCGACTTGATTCATGAAAAATGATATTACGATACGAAATAAACCTCAAGAGGGTTCAAGTGTATCTTTATCAATGATTGATAATTACTTTGAATGTTTCGTAAAAACGTATAAAATAAATAGGGCAAATGCATTTACGCTTTAAGCCATATTGTCTTATCTAAATAAATGATTCATAATATGATAAAATTTCAATTGTTTCCGAAAATCGTAGCTTGTTCTTCCTATTTAGATATAGCTTTTGGTAGTTTCTATATTTATTTTGTGACTTTAAATGAATGTATTTTTGAATGAGCTGATATGATGGAAATTAAAGTGAAGGACAAGGTTTGAAGTGTTCTGATATCGCAATAACCTTTAATTTCATTCTCTCTGTAAACCATAGAATAAATTGTTTGTAAGTAAATATTCAACCTCATGAGAAAAATGCCAAATTTTATTTATTCTCCCATGTATAAGAGACTTCGTTAAATCATCAATCGTCCATTTCCAATAAACAAAATCTCTATGAAATCACTGACCAAAGAAATAAATGTTTACAAATTTTTACTAAAAGCGAAATGGAAAATTTTATCAATCTTATCCTCTTTTTACATAATGAGCTCTTCCAGCTGAAAAGACTATTGCGCATACCAGAAAAACTATGTTAGGAGTGAAAAACTATGTGTACAAAAAATTTGCATTTTTATATACATCACATAATGATAGTGGTTGAGTTTAAAAAATTATGAGCAGCATAAAAATAAACTTAAATGAAACAAAATATAAAAATGAAAAACTTACATCGAATAGACTATTGAAATTGTTTTAATGATAACCCCCATGGTTGATATTTTTTTTTTGTATATAGAGACATACAATTTATTCTTTTCTCGATCGTCGTCAAACGAAAAAAGGGTTGTGGATGAATATATAATAATAAAACTTGTTCTTTGGTATGAAAAAAAAATGTTTTCGATTATAAAAATAACGTGGAGTTGGCTGTTTTTTATTTGCAGACTTTTTGCAAAATGTGGGCACTAAGTGTTGCATAAAATTTATTTCAGTACGAACTTTTATTTTTGTATGTTTTTTCTGCTATTTGATTTATCTTGACTTTATATTCACATTACAACTTAATTTACATTTTTGAAGATGATACGCGATTATTATTTTAATATTATTTGTAAATGAACAACTGTCGCAAGCTGTATTCACACATTTATTCCTGTGTTATGTTTTACGCTCATAAATGTTCTCCTTATTTTGTTTTGTGTATTATTTTTTGCGCAAACTGCTACATTTTAATTTTTTGCACTTAACACAATTCTCACTTTAGTTCCTCACAACTTGTTTCAACTAATTGACTTCACACATTATTCTTTGAACAAAAGTTTGTTTGCTTATCGTCTACTAACGTTTAATAATTATCACTTATCAGAACTTCCTTTCAAAATCATAAATCAATCAACGATTCTGTGCAACTCTTTGAGTGCAATTATCTAGTTCCATTTTTATTCTATTGACACAAAACATTGTAATTTAAATTATTATTCATATTAAAAGCCAATAAACAACCCGAAAAGATCAAACAAGCTAATGGCTAATAAAATTTTTCTTTTGTTTGAATATTCTGTCAGGTGGTTTTTGCAATTTTTAAATATCGTCTTAATCTTTTTTCGAACTAAGAATGACTTTATTTAAAATATTGTGGCTTTATCTTTTGTATAAATTTTTTTCCTACTATTTTTTGCAACTAAATTAAATTCTTGATTAATTTCCGCCAAACTATTAACAAAATTCAACTGATTTTCAACATAAGAAGCATGCATTACCGGTTAGAGGTCAGACATGTACTCCAATTACCCTCAAACCAAACTATTAATGCACCAAAAACTTCCCGATCGAAATCATTATCAAAGTCAATAATAAATCAGCACAGGAAAAAATACAGCATTAAGCACGCACGCACTGAACTAGAGATTATTAATCCATAAATTATTAACATTAA